TGAGCGAAGCGATTAAATGATGAAGAAAGAGAGAGCGCAATAGTGGCCACTTTCGGGGGATCCTAGGAAGCACGGCGGGGTAGGGGAGTACGCACACCCAGCCGAGACCAGGGCTTAATCCTTAGGGCTTAGAGCTTAGGGTTCAGGCCTTGGGAATTCGAGCTGGGGGGTTAGGTTCGAGGTGGAAGGGATAGGGTGGTCGGCTTCGGCGGCTGGGATCGAGTGTTTGGGCTAAGGTGTTGGGGTTAGGGCGTTCGGTTTGGGATTCGGGTTAGGGTATTGGTATTAAGGTTAGGGAGATACGCTCACGGGAGGTATGGTTCGGGTCAGGGCGGCCTGGTTCGGAGTAGGGTGTTGGGGCTAGGTGGGGGTAGGGTGTAAGGGTTCGGGTGTTAGGGTTAGGGCGGCAGGGTTCAGGTTCGTGTGTTAGGGTTAGGGCCTAGGGCTAGGGCGGTAGGGTTCGGGTTAGGGTGTTAGGGTTAGGGTGTTAGGATTAGGGCGTTGGGGTGTTAGGGTTAGGGTGTTCGGGTTTGGACGGTAGGGTTGGGGTCTGTGTTAGGGAGTTAGGGTTGGGGCGTTAAGGTTAGGGTGTCAGCGTTAGGGTGTTAGGGTTAAGTCGGTAAGGTTAGGGGCTAGGGTTCCGGAGCTAGGGGGCGGCGTGGCCAAAGGAGAGGAGGGGGGGCGGTCGGATATTCGAATCCAAAGGGGGGGCGGAGGGGTTGCAACCCCCACCCCCTCTCTTTTAGAAAGGGGTGGGGTTCGGGACAACGGATCGGGAAGGGGGGGTGGTCCAGGGGCGGAAGGGGTTGGGGGGGGGTTCTCTGACCCCCCCCCTTTGGGTCATCCAGCGGCGCGCCCTTGTCAAGAGGGCTCCAAGACGGCCCAAGAGGGCCCCAAGACCCCCAAGAGGGCCCCAAGACGGCCCAAGACGGCCCAAGAGGGCCCCAAGGGACCCCCCTACAATGCTTCACACGAGGCCAAGACAGCCACAAGACAGGCCCAAACGAGCTCCATAAGAACTCCTCAAATAGTGAAGACGAAACGTGTCACGGCGGTCCTCCTCCTCATCTTCTTCTTTTCCACCTTCTTCACTTCCTTCCCA